ATGCTCGTACTTCCGACATTTTATACGCAATTTCGCTACAATTGCACGACCACTAACTGATCTTCTGAAACAGAACACGCCCTTCTCGTGGGACCAAGACCAAGCAGCTGCGTTCCTCGCTGATCGACCTGCTAACTTCACCACCAATATTGGCACATTTCGACGCGTCCGTGACGACTGAAGTTCGCACAGACACCAGCGCTCACGGCATCGGCGCCGTACTCGCTTAACACCAGAGGGGCCAAACGCGTCATTGTTATTTATTTATTTTTTTAAGACATACTGCAGTCCGATGACCAAGCAGGTGGGCAGGGATTAATTACATAGAAACCATCAATCCGCATGGTAAATTGGTACACAATTCTGAAAACAGTCCAACAAGTGTGAAAAAAAAATTATTTAAGACATTGCGTATGCCAGCCGCCTTCTCTCTACAACTGAGCGAAACTATTCGATAACGGAGCGCGAGTGTCTTGCGTTGGTCTGGGTTGTAGCGAAATTTAGCCCCTACTTGTATGACCGGGAGTTTTCAGTTATTACGGACCACCACGCTCTGTGTTGGTTGTCGTCGCTCAAGGACCCAACTGGTCGCCTAGGTCGCTGGGCTCTACGTCTCCAGGAGTATGCCTTCGACGTAATTCATGTCTGCCAGGTTGCACCAAGATGCCGATGGTCTTTCGCGTTATCCAGTGGACCCTGCTAGCCTCGATGTTCATGAGAGCGATTCTTGTGTGCTCACCATATCTGATTTGCACGACATCGTCACAGAGCAGTGACAGGACGCAACTCTCAAGACGGTCATTGAGCGAGTATCTTTAGGACATTCCGACCATTTCCTCCGTCAATAAGTCCTCCACAACGGAATTATGTATCGCCTCAACATGAAGCCTGATGGCCCGGAATTTTTGTTAGTTATTCCCCGACACCTGCGTGCCACCATTCTTCAACATCTGCACGACATCCGACGGCAGGACACCTGGGTTTTTTACGCACCTATCACCGCGTGCGACAACGGTTATTTTGGCCTTGCCTGTATAATTTTTTTCGCCACTATGTCGCTGCTTGCGAGCGCAGCCAGCGTCGCAAACGTCCTGCTCTCCATACGGCTGACCAGCTGCTCCGACCTATCGACCTTTCCCCGTAACCATTCTTCCGCGTCGGCCTCGACTTGCTTGGACCCTTCTCAACGTCCGTAGCAGGCAACAAATGTATTGCTGTCGCAACTGAATATGCGACCAGATATCCTATAACTCGTGCCTTGCCAACTAGCTGCGCTACAGACGTCGCATACTTTCTGCTGAATGACGTCATTCTGCGGCATGGGTCTCCGCGCCAGCTTCTGACGGATCGTGGCCGCTGCTTCCTCGCAAAAGTTATCGACGAAATTCTCCGTAGCTGCTCTACCGAACATCACCTTACAACTGCCTACAATCCCCAGACCAACGGTCTCACAGAGCGCTGCGACTGAACTCTTACAGACGAGTTGTCCATGTACGTCTTTGCTGATCACCTTGACTGGGACGCAAGGTTCCCGTACGTTACGTTTGCATACAATTCGTCAAGGCATGACACCGCCATTCTGCGTTCTTTTTTCGGTACGGCCGAAACCCTGCGTTGCCATTTGACACACTCCTTTTTTCTGATACTACCGAACCAACGGTGTATGCTCAGGACGTTGCTTCTCGAGCCCGCGTCGCTCGCCAAATTGCGCACACTAGGCTTACTGCTTCTCAGGCCTCACAAAAAGTCCACTACGATGACTGGCACCACGACGTTGACTACGCTGCTGACTCTCTCGTCCTACTTTAGATGCCGCATCGGCGTGAAGGCTTGTGCGAAAAGCTCCTTGCACGATACACCGAGCCCTACAAAGTTCGCAAGGTCACTGACGTCGACTACCTCATCACTCCCGTTCAACCACACTCATCTTCTGCCACACCACCTACTGAAGTTGTTCATGTGTCGTGACTAAAACGCTACTACACTGCCAGTCCTGATTCGACTTAGCGGCACCGTGACGGCACGTCGTCTGCCGGGGTTATGTTACGAGGCAGCGGGCATGGCTCCGTCGTCATAGACGAATCGATGAAGAAGAAGCGGACTCGAAGCTCGAGATGCTAGCAGCCCTGGGGTGTCACACTTACTTGTAAATATTGCAAATACACTCGTTTCTTTGTTTGTGTGTTTAAAATTCCAGTAACAGTATTTTTCTATCACAACTATGGCTGGTATTAGTCTTTTCTTAAGAACTTTTTTGAGTACCACATGCACGAATGTTCCCGCAACGGATGCGGATGACAACAACGCTAGGCACTAAGGATCTTCGCCCCTAAAAGAGCAGTCACTTCAATTTGACAAGGTGTTTCATAGCACATGAGCGTATCCCAGGAGCTTGGGGACGAAGCATGGAATGCGTAGTTACCCTAACAGATGCTTTAGACAGGTGGCCGCGGGAAACTGATCTAGAGGGCGGACTTGACCACAGAATCGGAGTTTATGCACAGCCTTCAAGATTACGGCTGCCAATAGCAGGTCTCTGGTTGTGGGGTTAATAGCGTTGACACGCATATACACTCCACTTCGATATGTGTAAAGTTGTGAAAGCTCTATCACATTAGATCGACATCGCCGTACAAAAACCAGAATTATCAAGCGCGCACTCATCACACTCGTAGGTCGAGTGTGGTGAGCTCGTGAATGTCGTGCGACTGTGGCTAATGTGTTTTTTTTTACCTACTCAGTTGAGAGTACTCCCTCAGTATCTCGAAAAAATCAGGGTGCATACAAGGGAGCGATCCAGGTTGTGGGAAGAGCAGAGCCATGTGCGGGTGCAGCGGGTACACAGAAAACATCGCCTGATGCTTAACGTCAGAAAGTAAGGGCATGGTCACTATGGCATTCACTCCAGTTACTCATAGTTAGGCAGCGTCATACCAATAGCCACATAGATCAGATCGCTTTCTTTGTTACTTTTGTCCTTGCTATCATAGCAATAATAATGATAGTTCGTGCTGTTTAACGCCCCAATGCACTCGCAGAGTAGTTCAAACAGTTTGTTTCGCGGATGCCCAAATCGCATTTCGCTCAAATTCGCAGACTATCGCTGTATTCATAGATAAATAAAAATGAAGATAAGTGAAATGAATTGTTCCATATCACACAGACACAAATATTTATTGCTTTTTTTCAATATTTTAACGCCTTCCGTAATTTGCTGGCAGCAGGGCAGGCTTGAAAATGAAGGAGAGACGGCTTGTGTGGTGTTGCAGCACGGGAGAGAAGGCTCTTGGCTGGTGATTTGAACCCTTATCGAACAGCAGGGGGGACGTGAAGCTGACAGAGTATTGCAGCAAGGAAGGGAAGACCATTGGTTGGATGTTTGACCACTTCCAGGACAGCACGGTGGTTTTGGTTGTGATTCGGGCAGCGGAGCTACTGTATTTGCGGAAATATTGAAGATACAAGATACATTTTAGCACAAGCACGAAGTTGCGAATTCGTGATACCATTATGTATAACTGAGACGACCAAAACACAGATAGGCATGCAGCCACCAACACAAATACACAGCGCTCGAAACTCAATCAGGGAAAATACATTGCCAATATATTCTCACGGGATACTTCGAAATCGAAAACCTATTCACCCTACAAGAAGCAATAACAGAACACACTCACAAATCAGTTTATTGAATGTATTATATCTTGCGTATATATTCTTTTAATCAACTGCGAAGTTGTCCTCTTGTTAGTATTTTTACATTAACCTCAGTCAGTAAACCTATTCGAGTTTAATTTGCCTGGCAGAAAACCACATGGTTCAAAAAGATCAAGGCTAGGCAGGCGCTGGTATCCTGTCAAAGCACGCTTATATTGATTCGCTAGAAGTGTTGGGTTTAGCGTGTATACAAATAAAAATAGAAAGCAAAGCTATGGGCTGTACAACCTATTAACAGATGTGCAGTGCACGACAGTATCTTTCAGTACTTCACACTTGTTTTACAACAAGAAGAAAAAGCCCGTCACTAACACCTACAAAGAAAGATCATGCCCTCTTTACGATTGTACCCTACAATAAAATCGCAAAACCTTTTGCTCAAAGGTGGCATACACTCTATACATAATAACACTAGGGGAGCTCAAGCCTACATTTATTATTCTTACAATGTACACCACTTTTGTTGTAGCTTGCGTCATTGAACGTGGTCAAAAGTGAAACGCAGTATGTATACAAGAGAATGACGTTGTTGCGATTCTGCACGATGCATGTTTGTTCAAACGCGTTTTTCTTTTTATAGCCGGCCAACGTCCCCTCAAAATAATGCATTTTCATGCGGTTACTACCCTCACATTTAGCCTAAAACTAAAAATACGACTTTGAAAGAGAATACCGACTGATATATTTACAAGTTTCATTTAGTTTACTAAGTGTGCTAGCTCGAACAGCGTTCTAAAAAGACAAGCTCTCTACCTTGCAGAACTTCTGAGGCTGCAGCAGCGTCCATTCAAAGAAAAAAATCGATGCAGGTGTAGGCGCAGCTTGCAGACATGATGATGGCTCAGCACATGATGCACCATGCCATTTAGCAAAATGTGTCACTCACATATCATCCAAATAAAATATTTCGTATCATAACAAATAGTCGTGTGAAATTATTCCAAAAGTTGTCACAGCGAATCTAAGAGCATTTTATTAGATTCGTGCTGTTAAATATGCACAGACATAACATCAGTTCAGCTCAGAGTACCACCTGAGGTTTCAGCATCAAAATAATTAATAACTACCATGCTGTGACATATCTGACGTAACCTATCTGCTTAAATACTCTGTCTGTAACAAACAATAAGAAAGACAAAATAATGAATGAATATATATTGGAGCACCACCTCTTGCATTATATTTGTATAGAATTTTTAGCTGCGTGATGAAAGTATTCCGCGTTGACAACTTAATTTAAACAGGGTGACAAATAAATAACGTACTTACCACATACGCACAGGCACCTAGGACCACTTTTTATGCAAGTCGATATGCAGCTGATTCGCCAAGGATATTTGCAACCTTGATGACGTTTCACTTGAGTGAAAAGCAGTGACATTATTATTATGTTAATAACAGTACTTCTACAACATGAAGAGTCGTTAATAAATGCCGACGTATTGGAGTAATTTACTCTCTTGAAGCTATATAAAAAGCGCAAAAATTGTTTCATGACACTGTAAACCTAAGAGCCAATTGATGTTTGTTACTTAGTTCTCTTGTTAAACAGTGTCAGTAAACACTGGAGATCTGGCTTAAACTGCGATGAAACCAATACATGGACGGCAATTGCAAGAGGGGTGCATCAAATGCCGTACAATGCTGAAAGCAGTGGTATATGGAGTAGAAAAACAAACACGGAGGACACTTTAGCTTTGCCATCAATGTAGAATGTGGTAGCGCAAACGAGCCCCGGGTGCATAATTTTCTGAATTGCGGCAGCTTGTCTTCTTTTCTCGATGTATGCCTCAACTATGCCGAAAGAAAACAACTGAATGCTTGTGCAACATTAAGCATTGCATTGTGACATCGACATGAACTTTCACTGTCAACAATTAAGAAGCTTGTACGGGAGGAGTTCATATGGCTACTAAGGTGCCTGCATACTTTCCCTCGCCTCATTGTCAGAGCTGCCATCACATGCACCAGATTTATTGAGGGGGGCTATTGGGAAGTGCGTGGGTCTTTCGTGTGGTCACTTGGAGCCAGTTGTATTTACCAAGAAACCGGGCTATAAGTAGCACATCTCTAGGGTTTTCTGGAACTATATTTTTGACTAGGTGCTATCAAACCTAACGAAATAATCAAGCTACTGCATTTGATCAGACGAGCTTTGCAGTCGCGATGACGGGGTTGAAGTTACTTATTACAGGAGAAAAAAACGTGACAGTGTATTTTTGTGTTTCCTTCTTTAGTCCAACAAAAGCGATATGCTTCACTTTCCTTCAAGCTTTAAATGGAAACAAATGCAAGCGCTGCTCGAATAAAGAAGCATACGAATGAAACTAGAGTGCAACACTTTTGGAAATGAATATTTCGTCTATAAACTGCGAGCAAAAAACGGGTGAAGTAAACATTAGAGATATTTTTGCTCATAAATCTGGCATACCAATGACAGGTTGACCATCCATAATTCCCTCAAGAGGCAACTGGGTGTACTTGTCTGGTCATGTGTGGGTTCATATCACGTCATTGTAAAGTTGTAAATGTCTGTTGATTGCCTAATTTTTGGTTCACAACAGATATGCGTTTTTATTGCAGGTTTTTGTTTTTTGTGTTTAGGACATACAACAAAATGTCCTTGTTCAACGTTTTAAATTGTGTATTTTTTACACTTATTTATTTTTAGACCGATGGTCTTTAGAGGGCAACTTGGACGTGAAGTTTATGCAGAGCCATGTTTTGTTGATTTCCTGGAAACATTGGGTCCTGTGTAAAACAGTATTTAAAATGTGTGTACAAATGATATTTTCAGTGAGGTATATTTTACTTAAATGATTGTGGTTGATCAGATGTGAAAATTTGCGTTGACGAAAACCTGGTGCCTGAAGAAATTTTGTTCATCAGTTCCGTACCAGTTACATGTGTTAGTGTATTTCGTCAGTAGTAATAATTTGCGAGAATTAACCCTACAACGTTATCGTTCTATGTTTTATTGCTGCATGAATGATTGCTTATTGAACTGCCCCACGCCGACGACTCAGGATATTAGTTGCCCCGTATGCCAAGTGATATTCATCATTGTTGGGCTGTCTTTGAGTGATCATATTAATAAATACGTCGACTAAATATTTAACAACAAATTACCAAGGATCTTAGGTACTTCTAGCAGACATATAGGCGGCAGCTTTTTCATCCCTCAAGCACATTCATTTTTAGGGATGTTTTTTTTTTATTGTAACTTTCACATTTATGTAACAAAAAACTTCGCAAACACTTGTTTGGTCCCATTCCCTAACTGGCTAGTAGAGGGACCAATTGTGTGACATACCTACATACTTGCGCAAGCAGTTACACAGCGACAAAGGACATCAAACTGGATACGATGTTTAAAATAGACAAAAAAGCAAAAAAGACATGATTGAACTATACAATGAAACATAGTGCAGAACATAGCTACTTATAGCACAGAATAGTAATAGCACTATAATAATAATAATAATGATAATAATAATAATAATAATAATAATAATAATAATAATAATAATAATAATAATAATAATAATAATAATAAATGACTATTCGGATGTATTACTTAGAAAGTTCGCATGAAGTGCAAGCTTCATGGCGAATGAAAAATTTCTAGCTTCTTTCACATCAGTCGGTATCGCATTCTATATGAGAGCACCGTGAAATTCTATGAGCCTTCGACCGTAGGCATTTCTGGCTACCGGTAAATTAAAACAGTGATTCGCTGCAGCTCTTGTACAGCGCGCGGGTAACGTAAAGGTGCTTAATGGGAATGGGTCATCACGTTTTATTCCATGCACTATATCAGCAACATTAGACACGTGAACAGAGTCCAGTGGAAGTACACGCATCATTTGAAACAGTGGTTATGGAGTATCCGTCCTGTTTGAGTATGTAATAATCCGGACTGCCCTCTTTTGCAGGCGGCTAATACATTTCAAATGAGTTTTATATGTACTGCCCCACGATGCTATACAGTAGCGTAAGTGACTGTGCACGAATGCAAAATATAGGATGCGCAAAATCGATGCGCCAAAACATTAACGGGCTTTTAGTAGCGTGTGACACCCATATGCTAGCTTGGAGCATGTCTTTTCTATATGCGATTTCCAGTTCATGTCCGAGTCAAATATGACCCCTAAGTACTTAAAAGAGGCTACTGGCTGTAGCAGTGCCGTATCTAAAATCAAGTTGAAACCTGCAAAGTCGAGTTCTTTTTTTCTAGAGTGAAAGACCTTGTATTTAGTTTTCTCTGTGTTGATATTTAGGTGGTTTCGTTTAAACCATACTTGTACTCTCTGTAACTCTTCATTATTTTATCTTCGATGTCTCTTAAGCTGTCACCAACAAAGATTAGTGCCGTATCGTGTGCGTACATTAAAACTTCTGAATATATAGCACAGAATAGCACAGACAGTAGGATGGAGGGAAAATCGTTAACGTACAGGGAAAAAAGAGCGGGTCCAATAACTGAGCCTTGTGGTACCCCAGAGACTATTGATTGAGTAGAGGACTCGACACCATTCGTCACAACTCGTTGCTGGCGGTTGGATAGGTATGATTTGAGAAGCTGGTGAATTTTGCCTCGAAAACCGTAGTCATGAAGCTTACTTAACATGATGTTGTGGTTGACGGAATCGAAAGCTTTTCTTATGTCTAAAAAACTACTACGGCTATCTTATTGTTGTTCAAGGCTTTGTTAACTTGTTGGGTTAATATCAAACTGCAGTAGATGTAGATCTGTGTGCTCGAAAACCATGCTGGTTTGAACAAATCATATTATGTTTGGATGCAAATGATGTTATCTGCACTGATAGAATTTTTCAAAAATTGTATTAATTACACTTAACACAGATATTGGTCTGTAATTTGATGCACTTGATCGGTCTCCATCTTTTTATACAGGGACGACTTTGCCCAACTTAAGCTCATTCGGGTATATACCACAGTCCTGCCAGTGTTGAAACATGTGCAGCAAATGGTCTGCCAGAATGTCTATGTTATTTTCTATTATTTTAACTGTATTAGCATCGAGCCAAGCTGCTTTATTGGCGTCTAGTTTTTTTACTATTGGCATGATATGGGACATTTCTATCTCAAATATGGCAAAACTATCAGAAACTGGTCTAATGAGACGCGTGTGGTCTGTAGTGTCAGGAAACTGAGCAGCCAATGCACGCCCGACGTCTGAAAAAAATACTTGTTAAAGCGATCCACCGTGTCTTGAGTTATATCGTCAGGCAGTACACTTTTATCTGAGTCAAGACCAACTGCGGATTTTGCTATTTCCCAAATTGGCTTAGTGTTGCCTCCAGCCTCTTCGATAAGCTTAGCATAGTATTCTTTTTTTTCGTTTCCTCATTAGGGCGACTGACTTATTCCTATAGCATTGGAATTGATTTAAGTAGTAGGCATTGGTTTTCTGCTGCTTTCACTAGTGATACCAATGATCTTTTTGTTTCGGTATTTCTAGAATACTAGGTGTCATCCAAGGGCAGTGTGGCTTGGCGTACTTACAACTAGTTGTGGTGGCGCTTAGTAACACAGCATTTTTGAGAGAGCATATGAAGTTACTGTATTCTATATTTACATCCTCGTCATACATAGCGCAGTAATCGATTTGACTTATTTTGTCTCGTAGTAACTTATAGTCAATCTTTGTAGTTAATTTTCCCCTAGAAGGTTTCGTATTGAGAGGCTCATTTATAATGGTAACCAACATAGGCAAGTGATCGGCAATCGGAACAGGAAGCACACCAACATGCACATCATCACCAACATTGCAGAGGGTGTGATCAATAAGAGTACAAGACGTGTCAGTGATACGCGTTGGCTCACTTGTGACAATACACAAGTTAAAGGATTTTAAGAGGAGCGTGTACTCATTCGAGGTATCGGAGGACAGGTCAATATTATAGTCTCGAACAACTACAATATAATTGCAGTGCATGCAGGAAACTCTCATAAGCACAGGCTCAAATTCCTTCAGGAACGCTTTGATCGAAGAACCGGGCGGGCGGTATACAACGCCAATAACTGACCTTCTTTCCATTTTGATAAACAGAGTTTCTATAGTTGCGTTGGTAACAGATGCATCAAGCAAGAGATTGCACGCATTATTGTCCCGTATAAACAAGGCAACACCACCTCCTCGCGCACGCGAGTTGCGTGGCTGCGATAGTAGCCTGAATCCCTGCATACTGAATGTTTCATCATCCTTCAACCATGTTTCATTCAAAGCAATAATATCGAAACCAAAGTCTCACCGTGCTATATAGGTGACCAGATTGATCAAATTGCTGCGTAAACTTCGCATATTGCAGTGGAAAACCGAGAACTTATTACATTTCTGTTTTTTCATATATAAAGGAATAAGCATATTTATAAATACAGAACTTAACTGAACACGAGCACCTACTAAATCTTGATAAGGTCACCTTCAGATTGAATATATTCAACCGCTGAGTTCTCAGCTTTTCTCAGTAGAATCCAGCCCTGAGATACCCATGCAAACTTCCACTTTTTTTCTGCTTCACCTGTCGAGCTTTCCTGAAAAGAATCTTATTTTCTAGGCATACATGCTTATTGACATAGATGGGATCATTATGCTCTAAAGAAAGGTGACTCGTATTTAGCCTCGTCTTCCTAGCTGCAGTCAGAAATTTGTCTCGGGATGTCCTGGTTGCAAATCTTACCACAACATTTGGTTTATCTTTATCTCTGGATGGGACACGATGTGCGACATCAATGTCTCCATCGGACATCTCGATTCCCGAACAGGTGGCCATTTTATCCACTGTCACCTTTAGATTTTCATCTGCGGTACGTGGAAGCCCTATGATTTCCACGTTTATGTCCCTTCCGTGCTGCTTAAGTTCAATAATCTCCTTTTTGGCGTCAGTCAGTTGTCTAGCCATCTCTTGGTTTTGTTTCACAATATCTTTGTTTTGAGTCCTCACCTCTGTTAGTTCGCTTCGAAAGTTCGCAACATCTTTCTTGAACACTTCAAAGGCCGTATTCATGAATTCGACAGATTCACGCATTTTCCCGACTTCGACTTTAATTTCTGAGTTTGAGTCTGCAGTTTGAATGCTTTATTGAACGTTATTGTCTGTTTATATTGTTTTATTCTTTTTTTCCTTCTACTTCAGCTTCTTCTCAGCTGATTTCACTGATCCTTGAATATATATGTGCCACACAACATGAACAAGGAAAAATAGATTTACCACCACCTCTCGTGGTTCATTTTCTTCTACGTTTGTCTTACGTAGGTAGCCACGAATCGGCTGCAACATGCCTAAGAGTCAGCAATTTTGGTTTGCTCTGGATTCCTTGAGCTTTCTGCTACTCGCGTATTGCGTCAACTGCTCTGGCACAGGGCACCTTTCACCAAGCTAGGATATCATGTGAGGACATCGTCAGTTTCGATGTTGACGCCACAAACCTTAGCGATCAATGACGCAGTGACGAGGTCACAAGAAGAGGGCACGTAATCAAGCGAGTTTGGTCTTCCTTGAACGCCACTAGAGCGTGGCGGAAATTCCCGCACTGTATGCCAGTCATTGCATGACACATTGTTTTTTTTTAACTTCACTCTCTGGTGAGGAAATTAGAGGGAACAATAACAGGTGTTAGAGTTAAATAAAATATTGTGCTCAGCAAGGGCTGACGTTGTTGTCAATGGGGTAATTTTCATCTTGAATGTTAGAGCCGCAGTTTTAGAATACGTGAAAGAGGAGCTTATTTTTCTACACCCACTCGAGTGCGCTGAAGCGTGGAAACAAACAAACGTCATCTTCGATTACTTAGGTGGAGCCATGCTGCACTCTTACGAAAGGTTCCCGCGTCTCACTGATCCGAAATGTGAAAGAGCTGTTGACATGACAAAGAATTAAGCAGGTATAGCGGAAGTGAAAGTTTAGAAGTTTTCGTTTTGACACCTAGAATAACGACCTGAATGCCCATCTGTCGTATCTTTACCCATGGCCTCCGTGACGAACTCGTGAAGTGTTGTTGCCGGAGTTAATCGAGGAGGCCACGCTTAATCAGCACTGCTGTTGCAAACGAAGCGGCATACTTGGAATTACCTCACCGTTTTTCTGAGCATACCAAGCAATCTTGCGCCGATAGCATCTGCTCGATGCCGGAAGTTTTGTTTGAGTTTTTCTAAAAGTCGCACGTTGCTTTTCGAACTCAGTATTCATCAAATCAGCTTTAATCACGCAGAAATGATTTTCAAAAGTTTGTCAACTTCACTCTAAGGCTTGGCCTCAAAGAAAGCTTTAATTGGACCCTGCAAAACTTTTCAAAGGGATCATGGAATAAAATAAGCTTAATGTCTCACATATTCAACGCCGCAAAAATGTTTACAAATTTTACAATCTGTGCTGTACGAGCGGATTTAGAATGATTCCTAGCAAGCTACCATTTCATGCTCTGTACTCCCATCCCGACAAAAGCACTGGAAGCTAAGTGGGCAGGAATGGCACAGGGACACAAAATACGTCACGCACTCCTCAGAAGCTTGAGCATTTTTCTCTGCTTTTTTTTCTTCGAATGCATGGCTTTTCAGCCCGAAGGCAGGCGCACACTTGGACAAGTCGCGACGGCCCCATTTATGACTGAGCGCGCGATGGTCCAATCAGTCAGTAGGCTATACCTGTATTCTTGAGCCCGTAACATCTCTCGAGAGGTAAGAAAGCGGTCGAAAGCCGACTTAGAGAATTTATTGTTAATCCTAGGCCACGTTTCTTGCTAAAATATTTAACTTACGTGTTCTCGGAAGCCTCGAATACCTGTCGGCTGCGTTCATTGACCCTGTTCAAAAGGCATCTTAGGGCCACTTTATTTTTGACACTGAAGCAGCTCACGTAGAAGTTTTATTTCTGTGTTCTCCCAATCACCCCCGACGGGAATACAAAAAGCCACAAAGGCTAACGTGCGAAGGCCTCTTTGAGGTCTCGGTAAAGAAACTTCCTACAAAGAAGTGACAATATGTTATTGTCTAAACAACAAATGTAATAAAATCTGGGTAGAATACGCATCATAGCGTAAACCTTTAGTTTCCTGGTTTGTATCAATAGGTGTCAATAAGGCGTGTATGAAGTTTGCTGTTACACTCACCACAAGCACATGCACAAGACGTTTGTTTCTTTAAACATGTTACTCTCTCTCCGCAAGCACAAGTGAGTTCAGGGCACCGTGCCATTCCTGAGGGAGGAAGAAAAAAGAAATGCGCATGCTTTAGTATGAATCGGTGAGTTCCTTTTCAATATTCTTACAGATTGATCCAACATTTAAATCAATACTGTTTTAATGAATTTTTTTATATTTCTTTATACGCAATGTTAAGTAGCTCTAAAAGCGTTGTGTACTGTGACAAACAGTTATGTAACTTTCATGGTTCACTTTTATCAGCAGAAATTCAGTGGTAAAATGACATCAGTTCATGGGCATGTCAAATGTTTTCAGTATGCTTGCGTCTTGCGTTAGCTATCGTCAACATTGTTTTTCATAGTCATGGTATATGTATTTCAAATTATTTCAACGCAACTATCAAAGTGTGTTCTTCTATAGCAGCTTTAGCTCAAGTGAAAGAAATAAGGTTAGTTGTCGTGTTGAGCTATATTACAATGCATCGAAACTTTATGAAAACGTAGAATTGTGGACAACCAGCGCGGTGACTTGAGAATAAACTTTGTGTACAATTAAAACCAAAAAACCTGCAGACATGATGCAAAATGATATATTCCCATGCACATTGCAATGTTAGAGCATGGTACAGGATCTCAGACGATGGAAATCATCGAAATCATCCACAACGGCCTTTCTGATATTCCAACTCAATTTGCGAAGAGAAAAACCTAAATCCGAAAGAAATATTGTTTTCACCTAATATTTAATTTTTATCATGGTGCATTCTTTTGTTACACTTGCAAGAAAAAAAACTCGCAGACCTTTTTTTTTTTGTAATATGACTTCCTCGGCATACAGTATACCTTGCCCGGTGGAAACGTCCCGGTGGAAACGTGAGGTTTCGCACTTAACGTAGTCTTTGATATCATCAAAGGCTATTTCAGATAGATAAATGTTTCCTGCATTGCTATCTATGTATTAACGTTTACGAGAAACATAGGGTATGATGTAAGGGCAGCAATCACTTTAGATAACAGATGTCAGTTTTGTCGAAGCGAGTGCAGTATACAGTCATGGTACACGCTACATTCATTTTGCAAGCAAGGTGCACGCTACAACTTGATGACTTATAGCAGCATGAATGTAATGTTTTTAGACTGTTAGAAAAGTGGTGTCAACACTGAAGCCACTATTGAAAGTGAAAAAATATTACTGGTTCATCACAAGAGTGAATATGCAAACTTTATTGCCTTGCCCTAAAACTAAGTAGCCAGCACTGCAACTACAACTGACCCTGCACCGAGATGAAGCCTGCAGATGATTGCACTAAAGTATGTTGAAAATACCGCTGGCTTTCTGGCAGAATACGTACTACCAAGCAGAATGCCTGTCTAAGCGGAATCATTAACGTTATTCTTTGATTAGGCCTGTCAATGCTGCCACTGCTGTATTTCCTCGCTGATTTCGCGTTTATGTTGCTGATTTGTGTCATCGTGTTTCCTACGTGGATAGAAGCTATGAATAATTTGTGACGCATACCAGCGTACTGTGGCCTGCGGTAAGGGGGTATATGCCTCTTGTTACTTGAGAAAAGAAGTTTTGTAATGTTCAAGAAGACATTTCACGTTCTTTTTGTCATCATAATAGAGCAATATTTCTCATACGCTCGTGCAATTTTTCTTCCTTTTTGGCCTATACCATGTTTTAAGACGACAACGAGAGCACCTATGGCAGATATATATATATATATATATATATATATATATATATATATATATATATATATATATATATATATATATATATATATATATTATATATATATATATATATACATAGAGATAAATAGATAGATAGATAAATAGATATCAGGATCGATAGATAGATAGATAGATAGATAGATAGATAAATAGATAGATAGATAGATAGATAGATAGATAGATAGACAGGTAAGTAGGTAGGTAGGTAGGTAGGTAGGTAGGTAGGTACAAAAGTGCATTTGCTTCGTTAGGAAATACTTCGCTTTTAAAAAGAATGTTGGGTAACTACTAATTTCAGCATAAAAGTAAAAGAGAGACACATGAAAGAAATGCTAGCGTAATTACATGTGTCATAATCATGCTGAACCAGCAGTCATTTGAAACCATTTACACGTGAAATCAGTTCGTCTGCTGTGCTCGTAGCAGCTACGCCTGGCAGCTGGATTTCAAAGAGCATCCAAAAAATATGTATTTTTTTTTAATTGAAGAGCTCTTGTTTCCTGCTCTTGTAAGGCGTGTTTATTGTTCACTGGTACCATATTTGCCAATGTGCCTCAAACAGAGTTTCACGATGCTGAAGTTCAAGGTCTATTTCAACGCGTTTTTACCGTGTGATTTCGTGTTTAAGGTGCAGCTGCTGAAAATCTTCAACGGGAACCTTCTACATGACTCACCCGGGAATTGTCTTTGCTCTTCTTCGAGTTCAGCGTCTGAATAAAAAGGAAAGAAAAGAACACCATTGACAGTATTTTATTATATAGATTGCAGCATTTTCAGCGCATTGTTATCTAGCTTTAAGCCTTCAGTAGTTCCCGTGCTCTAAATTTTCCTATATTATCAACGTCGCCGGTCATCATTCCAGCACTATGCGGTTTGAAAGACGTTATATCGGTTTACTAAGTATCTTATGGCCAAGAAATCAGCCTATACTGAAGTGACATGACTGCAAAGAGAATGTTGCTGACTTGCATTTATAAGTTAGGTCTCAAAGATGGGCTGTCGAATATTCGCTGTTGGTAACTTTCCAACTTGTTATTTTACATAAGGCTGCCAAAAGCTGAAGCATCCTATACTGGCTGCTCTTTTTCCAGCCGCCTCGATAGAGTATAGCATAATTATACTAATTGTTGAAATATACGAAACAACACCTGCGTAATTGGACATTCACTTTCAGACTTACTCATGAGAGGTCCATTGTTGCAAGTGAAAGGCGGTCGCGTGGGCTGACCTGCAATTCATTAAAGTACGTTGGATATTGCATATGACGTCAACAAAATATTAAACTGAGCCAGTGACAATCATTCAGCCACAAAAATATTGAACATTTCTTCTCAGGCTAGCACCTCCCGAAGAAGTGTATTTACAGGGCCTGTCCCAAACTTTTCGGGAATGTTTATTTAAAAATAGTTGGTTCAATATCAAGTAATAATTTTTCAGAACCTTTCAAGTTACTCACCGCCTGGGTAAATGCACCGTTGTCTACGCTTCACCTAATCATTCAAGGTGCCATAGCAAGCACCAACGAGAACCTCCTTCGTAAGGGTCATCGAAGATGCTTTTACTATTCTCAGCGTCCTATACAGCGTTTTTTATAATGTTTTCTTATTTATTGGGTACAAAAAAGTCTAATGGTGTGAGATAAAGGCAGCACAGTGGCTGGAACAGCGCTGTCACATCCATTTTGGCTGGCAGTGCGCACACAATCAGCGCGGTGTCACTGCTCCTTCAAGTGACTGATCAGAACTTTTGGCATCACTTTCGCGCAGACTTTTCTACTTAGGAGATAGGTTCGCCATAACGAGTTGAACGATTGTTTTGGGTAATCCGCATTTCTACTCGATCATGCGAACGACTAAGCACCGGTTCTTATACACTAAATGGGGTGCGTAGTGCAAACTTGAAAAACACAGATCAGAGAAATGAAGTAGAAGGGAGGGAAAAGGTAAGGCTCCAACCTATTTCTTTTCTCTCGTCTGTGTTTTCCAAGTTCGTGGTATTATGTACCCTATTGACGTTAACCAGCTCACCCTACAACAGATCTTACTCTTCAGTCAGTACTTGACACACTACATCGCCGTAGGCTTTCTGAAGCTTACAATGAAGTCGCGATGAAACAAAGCCGCATATTCTCCCCTTCTTACAACAGCCGCATATGCTCAATGACTTAACCAAGGCTACGATAGGTTCTGGTATGAACATGAGCTTTTACAGAACTCTATAACCCGCTTTTCTTCAATTGAGTACCCAGCACACAACTAGCCAGGTCAGTTCACTTCTGCACTCATAAAGCAAAACAGGTTATTTTCCAATCGGAACAGGAAATCGAATTAATACCTACCGAAGTATGCGGACAGACAGCTATGTAGCCATCGCTGTGGTCCTATTTTCTAATGCTATTTCACTTGTAGAAGTCGTTGACCTTACTGAAGCAATGACATCATGTAAAACACGTCATCATTATTCACAGATTACGTGACTCGCCACGTATTCTTTGTACAAAAAGCATACATTCATTCAGTCGTTTCATGTAGTTATGTGACCTCGTTCGAATTTTTCCCCTGTAGCGGACATCACTGAAATGTAAACTTTGATTGCGTTATCAGAAAGGAAAAAAAAAACGTGCAGCAGAATAACAGAAAAAAAACACTCAGAGTTCACTGCGTGTCTTACCACATGGACAATTGCAGGGATTTGGCCGCCAGGGACACCATTGAGGTTGGTTGTACGTGCACGTTGATCGTGGACAGCGGTTTGCTGAAAAAAAAAAAGGACAACGAGAAGTAAGGTCTGCTTTAGCCCGCACCTGCCTGTTGCGCAGTGGTTTCAGCTTTTCTGTGAAGTATTTACTACCTTACCGAGCTTGTTAGCTCATGATGTGTTGAATGAATGAGAGCCCATATACGAAATGGCAATGGCATTGAGTTTTTATAGGAACATGAACCTTACACAGGCTTCTAAATCTAGTCAAGCCCTTTTTGCTCCCCATGTGACGGCTATGCGTCCAGTTTTCTGATGGTATTATTTTATTATTATTATTATTATTATTATTATTATTATTATTATTATTATTATTATTATTATTATTATTATTATAGTATTATTTTTAATGTGAGATGCGTGCAACGTATTATGAATCACAAGTTACCTAGGTTCACGTGACAGCATTCACAAGGAACAACTTGGCATAACCTTGAATTTTGAGATTAGCATGCTGTTTCACATTTCTCATACCATCTCCGAACGGGTAAAAAATATAAAATGGGTGAGGGAGCAAACAGAAAGATGCTGCGTTAGCAGCTTCAGGAGATGGCTATGAGAAAGAGCAGTTCCTATTGTTTTTGCTGTGCCACAGGCGAAATTTGAATGCGGTAAACAAAGGTGACATTCACATGCTGACTTAAAGATTTACTCTATATGAACCAAAAACTTCAAGGGCTCGTTACGTGCACTGAGTAGACTTCATAAAATGTACTTAGTAATTGTGATTTATGTTTGTATACAAAAGACACTGCCAAAACGTGAGCGTTTATTAGGAGTTACCATAGATAGAGTGTGCTATTCTCAAAATATTGCGTGTATGCATATATAATAAAAGTGTTAAAAATGCGAATTTGCCACACCGCTGAAAATTTATTAGGGCTAACAAAATTTTGTAAACTATTCATTGCAGCTTGTCACTAACTTAATCATACTAAAAAAACAGAACATTCTGACATGAAGTGATATAAAATGACATACACCAGGACTAACAACTCTCGCTGATTTAGAGGAGACTATTTAGAGTAATGAATTCACATTTATGGCAGCTATTTTTTTCCATTATGAACATATAAGAACACTTTCACCAGGGCCGAAGTTTACGTAATAGAATATTTGCCACATTGCGCATAACTACATATAAAAGCAAGCAACAACAAATACTCTGCTTCGACATTTGCGCATTTGCAAGTTGCGATTACATTTGCGTATATAAAATGAAATTCAGACATCTCTCTTCGCACATATGTGTAAAAGTTTCGGAGGAAAAATACTTGCGTGTTGCGGGAAATGCGAACAAAATAATTGGAAGTATACTCCAGACAACAGGGTTCATTTTCATGGTCCCCTGCAAAGCAACACCACACTAAATAAGTGAGTTCATTGTGAAAATTTCATGGTATATACAGCTGAGGAATATTACAAAAGCACAATACTCGAATCCAACTGTTGAAGCACCAGGCACGTTGTCTTGGTCCCCATTGTGTTTAAAAGCGTTAAGTGTCGTGTACAGAATATTAGGAGCGAAAATAGCCGTGTGCGGCAGATACGAGCCAGCGTAAAATTTACTTATTACAACAGCATTTGGAAATACCAAATATTATCTTTCCTACGTTCCAATCTGTCCAGAGATATTTGTAAAGATTCTTAGGTCCCCGATGGTAGAAGCTGTTACTCAGTTTCACGCTACGGCGTTTGCATGCGTCAAAATACACCACAAAAGCTAGGGCTTGCTGTTTTCTTGATGCTAATGGGTCCACGTATCCGTTTGTGCACAAACGTTTTCGAGTAACACTGCCATCATGTTGGCTGTTACACACTTGATTTGTGACAAGCCGGATTTTACAGTAGTAGGGTATTGTGTGCTCATATTCATATATCCAGTGGTTTACTCGCTATAGCCACTCGTTACAAAAGCAAATGTAATATTAAATTGCTCTTCATAATTGCGCACCGCCGTATCATGTAACAAGTAACGTTGAAAAATGGGCTACTATGTAAAGATTTACATTCTAGCAAACTGCGGAGAACGGGACATAGAGATAGAACGAAACGAGATGGACGAGCGCATAAGTAAGCAAGATGGTCAGGGTTCATTTGGTTTGTATGCATGCGAAGCACACGAACACACGTGCACTTACGTTTACGTCATCACGAAAAAAAACTGCATCATAGTGTATAATAATAGTTTGGTAGCACTGTGGCACACTTCATAAATAAATGCAGTTCTTTCAACTAAAAGGACAAATCCTGCCTGCGGTATAAGGTAGAACTTCGACCTTTTGATAATATTTATTATTTTTTTCCTGAGGCGCCATACATAAAATGTGGAAGAGCAAGAAAACGAGTTGAAAAAACTACTGAACTTTTAAACTACACGCTATAGCACAAACATTCGTTCTAAAATGCCAGAGATTGTATTGGCAGGAGGCAAGCACGACAACTAGCCGTGAAACTCTTGTAATATAGTGGACTTACAACTTGAAAAAAAAAACCAACTAGACGTAACCTTGAAACACACATTTTACATAGGTTAAGGGCCTACTTATCATTAATTCGGTTGGTTGTTGCATGTTAACTGCAGCAAGATATGAAAACCAACACTAAAAATTGCTCTCAGAGTGAAAAAAATATATTTCGCATAATGGCTGCGTCTATCAACCTACTTTAATAAACTTGGGTCCTTTAAAACTGACGATGGACAATTCTCTCTTTTGGGCATTGAACCTTCCATAAATGCATGCATTTATTTTTGCTGACACAGTCGCAGACGCTTCTGCGTTTTGAGCGTTTTTTGCAAAGATAATATATATTCAGAAACTCTAAGGTTATAGTCTAGCCATTCCATAACTGTTCGCTTGTAAATTCGCCACTTGGCGCGTCGCTTTGTTTTGGTGCAGCACACGATAACTTCTCTCCGTTCCAGCCATGCTGTGTACAGCACGGACATTAT